TGACGTGGTGCTGGCAGGAGGAGTGGGGGGTGACGTGGTGCTGGCAGAAGTGCTTCCTGTGGAGGGGGAGGCATGTGGGGCTCACCAGCAGGATCCCCCACACCAACCCCACGCTGCCCAGGCCCCCACCACGGGCCCCCAGAGGGTGCTGGAGTGCCAGAGCGGGCAGCAAATGGCAACAGAGCCATCCAAGGCCATGGCCACGAGCACCCCCGACCACCATGGAGAAGGTGTGGGTGGAGAACATTTGAGCGAGGCAAGAGGGAAACCCAATCTACCCCAAGCCCAGCCAGAAGCTGCCCAGTATTTTGGGCACGGTGGAGGTCGACAGGAGCAGGCCAGTGAAGGCCAGCATGGTCAGGAGGAGGTTCCTGGGCTCCTGCAGGGTGGGCTGTGCCCTCATGGCCAGGAGCAGGGAGATGTTCCCCAGCAGGGCGAGGACATATGTGATGCAGAACAGGAAGGCAATCCAGAACTGCTCCTTCTCCAGCCCAGGGATGCCAAGGAGAAGGAAACAGGGAGGATGGGAGAAGGCAGTGGAGTTCAGAGACATGAACCCTTCTTGTTTCTTGCCTGCACCGAGGGCTTTTGTGTCCTGTAGAAAAAAAAGCATCAAACACCTTTGGTCTGACCCGACCGGTGGCAAACAGGGACTGGCAGGAGGTTGGGTCTAGAAGCTCAGATTCCCCCCATGGTAAACCTTTGACAGCTGCTTGCACTGGGCCAGGAGAGCCCCTGTGAAGGAGGTGTCCTGCCAGCTGCCACTGGAAGTGCCCTGTTCCCCTTGGGGTGGGCCTGGAGCAGATGGGATTCCTCCTGGATCAAAGTGAACAGGAAGACTGCCTAAGGTGCACACCTGACACACTCCAGTGTCCAAAGGACGTCCAGCCCTGGAGACCAGATCAAAGCTGGAATGAAGGAGTGGGGAGATGGACTCCTTCGTGCTGGCCCTGGAGCTCTAAGGACGTTTGACCAGCACCATGCTGCTCTCCAACAGGAACTGAGGTGCCAAGTGCTTGTCTTGGTCAAGAAACACCCAATTAGCAAAAAGCTGAGCCAGTGCCACAGTATTTGGCAAGCCCCCCACCCCACCCACAAGCCCAGAGCTCCAGGGATGCCCATTCTGCCCCCAAAGAGACTTCTGCTCCCCCAGACCCTGCACATTGCTCTGCTTGTTTTCCCTGATACCTGGGAGAAAGGATCCCTTGAAGAGCCCTGCAGGATGATCCCGGACTGATGAGACCCTTTGAAAACCTTCCTGGAGCTGCTGGAGAGCTGCAGGGAGCAGAGGGCTGAGCAGGGTCCCAGGACAGAGCGGGGCTTTTCCTCCCTGAGGGTCTGAGGTAGCCGAGCCGGGTCTGCTCCCGCCACACCCGGAGTGAGATGTCACTGTCACCATTACAGCCCGTCCCAGCACAGCCACCAGGACCAGCTGGAGCTGGGCTCTCAGCTCAGAGAAGAGCTGCAAACCTCACAGGTACTTGGGGTTTGGAGTCACCTGCACTCTGGGAGACATTCCCTGTTTTTCTGTGTGGCTGAAAACATTCATGGAAATTCCTGATATTTCACTTCTGCATTCTCCCTCCTTCCTGCCAGCTGCCTCTGTTGGTGCTGCTCTACCTAAAAGTTCCTTTGTCCATGGAGAACACAGGGACAAGGAACACAGTTACACAATTCCCAGGCAAAGGCAGTGGGAGGTGGGCACGAGGCTGCCCAGGAAGATCCAAGGCATCAAACCTCCTACTGCAGAGCAACAAGTTCCTGCCCCAGCCCTAAATACTCACCCGCCTCCTGCAGGTCTCAGTGCAGGGACTCTGCTCTGCAGGGACCAGGAGATGTTTTTCTGCCTCCCACATCAATCCCACAGGGAGCTCTGCATCTCCCCAGCTCCTTAAGGTGCAATTAGAGAGAGAAGGAGGCAGTTTTTAACCCCCTCGGTGCCAGTGACCTCCCAGACAGGGCTGTGCTTCGTCCCGTTTGGTACCTGATTTCTTGCAGTTCATTTGGAGGAGACACAGGAGTGATCAAAGAATCATGGAATGGTTTGGGTTGGAAGGGACCTGAAAGATCCTCTAGTTCCAACTCCCTGCCATGGGCAGAGACACCTTCCACAAGACCGGAATCCCAAAATCACTGCAGCTGGAAAAGCCCTCCCAGCCCATGGATCCCCCCTGTGCCCCATCCCCACCTTGTCCCCCAGCCCAGAGCACTGAGTGCCACAGCCAGGCCTTCCTGGGACACCTCCAGGGATGGGCACTCCAAACCTCCCTGGGCAGCCCCTGCCAAGGCCTCACCACCCTTTCCAGCAGCAAATTCCTCCTCCTGTCCAACCTGAGCCTCCCCTGGCACAGCTGGAGGCCGTTCCCTCTCCTCCTGTCCCTTGTTCCCTGGCAGCAGAGCCTGACCCCCCCCGGCTCCCCCCTCCTGTCAGGGGGTTGCAGAGCCAGAAGGTCCCCCCTGAGCCTCCTTTGCTCCAGGCTGAGCCCCCCCAGCTCCCTCAGCCCCTCCTGCTGCTCCAGCCCCTTCCCAGCTCCCTCAGCTGCTCCTCACAGGAGTGGGGAGCCTCCCCTTTGCCAACTTGGTTCCCTTCTCTGGGCTGTTAAAGGTTAAATCTGGGTTTAGTTACTTGGTTTGCAATTAACACTGCTGCAGTATGAATTATTAATGCTTATTAATGCTTTCCAAACAACAGCAACCTCGCCCTTCTCTGCTCTATTGAGAGGAGAGGAGAGGGTCAGAGAGGGTCGGAGAGGGTCGGAGAGGAGAGGACTTGTATGTCATCCCCCTGGATATCCTCCAGGTCTCCAACTGCTCCAGCCCCACGTGTGTCCTCTTTGCCTCCATTGCCACCTCCAGGCTCCTGTGTCCTCCCAGTCCTCCCCCCACTGCTCCCATCCTGCCTTTCCCTCCCTCTCCTACTCCCAACCCTTCCCTTTTCAGTCCCTTCTGCAGGTGCTCCTGATTCTTTTCTGGCCCTTCTGGAGCCAGCTGGGCCCAGCTAAGCTGGACCATCCCCAGCTCTGCTCTGGCCCTGCTCACAGAGCAGACACGGGCTGGGTCCCTGCTCTGTTGGGGTTTTCCTTCTACTGCAGGAGAGGTGACCTGGGGCCTCAGCAATGGATGTTCCAGACAGAAAGTGTTTGCCACAGTTGTTGGCAAACACAAATGCTGAGGGAGAAGGCATGTTCCCTCTGTTCCCCAGCAAACTCCACGACTGAAGTTTGGAAAACAAGAAGAGAGCAAGTTTTTCTCTGTACCCAGGAGAAATCCATCAGGCCTTCATGCTCCGAGGCTCCATTAACTCTCCAAGAAATAAATTAGTAGGAAATACAATACAGCATTTTCTGGGAGGTTCATTCGTTTTTCTTTATTAATTTTTCTCTCAGCACAAAAGAAAAAAAAAAAAAGCAACATATGGGGAATGAGCAGGAGCTGTTTCTCAATGCCACAGCCGCCTGAGAAGGGTTGAGACCCAGAATGCCTTCAAAAAAATCATTCACATTTCCCAAATCACATTAGGCAGGTACAGATTGTTTTCATTTCTATGAATTTATCTTTTTTTACCCTTCTAAGCTCTAATAAACCAGAATATGCCAAAAATGACAGGGGGCAAAATTGCCTCGAAGTCCCAGATGGCAACTGCTTGTAATTCACCTAAATGAAAACTATTTATTTTCAAATGGAATGGGGTTTAATTCAGCAGAAAAGGTTATACCAAGACGTGTTTTGTGGACGCAGCACAGACTGCAAAAAGGGCACTCAGTTTACTCTCAGTGCTTGTTGGCAACTGGAAGAAACTGCACCAAACTCCACCAAATGTTGCTGCCACCTGGGGGCCCGATGCAGAGCAGTGACCTTGGGCAGGGCCCTCTGGAAGTCCTGGGAAAGTGAGGAACCCCTGGGAGCAGCACTGGGACCTGTCCTGTGTCCCGGGGAGTCAGTCCTGGGAGGGAGCTGGGGGGGCTCAGCCTGGAGCAAAGGAGGCTCAGGGGGGACCTTCTGGCTCTGCAACCCCCTGACAGGAGGGGGGAGCCGGGGGGAGTCGGGCTCTACTGCCAGGGAACAAGGGACAGGAGGAGAGGGAACGGCCTCCAGCTGTGCCAGGGGAGGCTCAGGTTGGACAGGAGGAGGAATTTGCTGCTGGAAAGGGTGGTGAGGCCTTGGCAGGGGCTGCCCAGGGAGGTTTGGAGTGCCCAGCCCTGGAGGTGTCCCAGGAAGGCCTGGCCGTGGCACTCAGTGCTCTGGGCTGGGGGACAAGGTGGGGATGGGGCACAGGGGGGATCCATGGGCTGGGAGGGCTTTTCCAGCCCCAGTGATCCTGGGATTCTGTGACACTGATGGAGACATCAGGGTTCAAGGGCACGTGGGGCTCCTGCAGATCAACCTGGTTTACAATCCCCAGTGCTGCTCTGGTTATCTGGGAGGGCTCCTGCTCTGCAGGGATTTGTGCACTTGGGCAGAGAAAACCACAAGGTTCAAATCAGAGCTCACAGAGCCCTGGCACCTCTAAAGAACCCCAAAGAAACAGATTTATTTTTAAAATGACAAAAATCATTAGGGCAAAACCTAGAAGTGACCACCCTTCACATCTGTGATTCTTTGTAAAATCCTGCTGTACAACATCCCTTCCCAGGTTCTTTAGCCTTTCCCAAAATATGAAGCAGTGTCTCCATCCTTGGAGATATTCAAAAGCTGTCTGGACACTGTCCTGGGTAACCCACTGTCCTGCTGACCCTGCTTGATCTGGGAGGTTGGACCTTCAGAGAAGATGAAGATGAACTTCATAGGTGCCACCAACCTCAACCATCCCTTGACTCTGTGGTGGCATGAAAATAAATGCAGTTTGCTCTCAGTCCTTCTTCATAATTCCTAAGTCTTGCTGATTTTCATTGTACTAACAGAGCTCTGTTGTAGTGGCCCACAGGTAGAAGAGTCATGAGAACAAAGAGAGCAAAGGCTGTTGGGTTCTCTGTTTCCTGGCAACACCCATGAAGCATTAAAAAAGCTCAAAAGCTGAAGATTTTGAACTTAATTCATAACTTCTTAGGTATTCCCAGTGTGGAGCCAAAGGTATGAAACACCTTTGATTTGGAAATGAGACTTCCTTCAGCTTGGAATTATAATTGACATTTATAACTTGCTTATTTTTTTTCCCCTGAGATGATGCTGATTCATTGAATATAATTAAAAACAAATTATTTTTACACTTTCTGAAATTTTTTCCGGAGCACCTGCTACGAGAAGGCTGAGGGGTCTTCACTGAGCACCCAGCATCTCAGAACAGGACCACAGAGGTGGAGGTTCCTCTTCTGAAGCTCATTTGTGCATCTGTAATGTAACGTGTTGTTACTATTTTACTTGGGCATTGATGCTATGGCCAAAGTTTCTGGAAGAAGTTCTGGAATGTGAATGTGCCACATGTGGAAAAGATGAATTAACAAAACCACCCCAAGCCACTGCAGCATCTGCTCTGCCCTGCCCCTGTTATGGGTGAGATGGGAACAAAGAAGTGCAATGTTGAGATGTTTTTATCAGTTTGTTGAGTCACTTTTCCTTCCAATTGCAGAACCTGCTTGGCCGGGCGTGTGTTTAGATCGCTGTAGTAGATTCTCTCCAAGTTTGATGAGGGCAAACACTCTTGGAAGGAGTTTGTAATTACTCTTTACCTTTTGCCTCCTGGCAGCACCGCAGAGTGCACCCAGAGGACAGTCCCGTGCCATGGACGCCGAGGGTGGAACGTGAGCAGTGAGGACACGGGACAGGTCACTGGGAAGTTCTGCCACCGACACGGATCAGACTCAAGATCCTCCTCTGTATCTGCTTGGTCCTCACCCCGTAGATGATGGGGTTGAGCACGGCGGGCACCAGGATGTAGA